TTCTACACAGGATACTGAAACTTTTCTATTCTCTGTATTTTGGGAAACATTCCCTCCATTCATGCCTGCATGAACTTCACACTACACTGTTGCCTTCTCATTAATTTAATTTCACATTACCAGTCATTAATGCTAAGGTTAAAGCTTCCATTATCCCTTGAAATCATCTCTATTCATGCACAGACCCTTCATGTTTACCTGCCCACAGCATTGAGATTGGTCTAGTTAGATATACGACCATGGGCCTTCTTTAGAATGTGGATGTCCAACCATCCTAAATTTCTTGGGAATCTACTATGATAAAAATTCTGCCCAACTGTGTATCTTTATCCCTATCCCTGCCTATTCTGTCCTCCGTCATTACTCCTCACCCATCCCTATGTGGTCATATAAATACTGACCCATTTAAACCTTCTATATTCTTACCATTTCCTGCCTCAGATTGATAATCTCACTCCTTAAATCTCTCTTCAACCCAACCTCCAGAAAAGCCACCTTTTTCTTCCACTACCTCTTACCAAGAACTTATTAGTTATGAGTTCAAATAGATAAGACTGTTGACACCAAGGTGATATAAAAAACATCCCCAATAATCTAGGAGCAAATGGATTAGATTTATATAGGTAATTTCACAGGTCAATTTGTATGTCCTAAGTAGATTAGTTGTTGGATTGCTAAGGCAGGGGAAAACACTTTGTATCAGGAAGAATAGCCATAGTCCTAAAGGACTAAACAAATAGATTAACTTCTAAAAGAAGAAAATACAATTTGTCAGAATAGTGGAAAAAACATTTTAGATATAAAGGTATTCATTGACAAAGGTGTGAAAAGTATCTGTCATTAAGAAAACAATATTGATGAAGAGTGATTGTTGAAAAGTTATTATTAGGAGAAAATAGCAAACTGTGAATTTTGATATTTTGCTGTTTTTTTAATGAGAACTTTTAATTTATCTGGAGTTGATAATTCTTTGAGTTATTTTTATGCATTAAACCTGTTGACATCTAGTTTTTCCCGGATGAGTTTTGAAGTTTTGGTTTAGTAAAATCATTCCAAAAAGTGGTAAATATTTGCTGGATACAGTTGGTTCCCCCTAAATACAGCTTCTTAGGAGGCTAAGTTGGGTGAATGGCATGAT